TCATAAAACGATAAATAGTTTGTCAAATTTTTATTCATAAAAATGCAGTTTCAACTGGATTTTATAAAATAAAAAGCAGTTGAAACTGCTTTTTATTTTATAAAATCCGTCTTCTTGCGCCATCAGAGAGCCTTTTAAACAATAGATAGTCTATTAGCGTTGGTCAGTAGTAGTCCAAATTTAATACAAACATTTGTTTTTTGAAAATTTGATCACGATTTAAATACAGTATTTACTTTTAATATTACCGATATTTCATCGAAAAGAAAACGTGTTGTATTATCATTAAAAGACAAATTAAAGTATTTGTTTCCATTATCCGGATTTTTCCTTATCTGGACTACCTTTATCCCCAATTAGTCCGGATAATCGAGGTTCTACTGTATTTGATTTTAACTTCTATGTATTAATGTAATAATTAATACTCAATATGTGCATATTATGCACAGTGCACCTACTGACTATTACTGTTGTTAAATATTTTATTGTATAAAAGGGACTACAAAGTGTTCTCTCACATGTTTATATGTTTCTCAAATAAATTTGAATTAAAAATGTAAATAAATGTCTTTTAAAGATTTACTATTATTATTTTTCCCAGGATTATATTTTCGAGATTTTAATCTTTCAGGATCTCAACATCCGGGATTATGATCAGCACCACTTTTAAAAATTTTGTAACTACTATGTTTGCAATTATTAGTTTTGCAGATAGTATTAATTTTTTAAGTTGAATTTTCATTGTAAATTATTAATAAATAAAACCAAATATAACAAGAATTATTAGACTGCTTTGCAAGCTTATTATTTCCATTTAACACAGTATCAGTGATATCCAGTCTCTGTGAAGAGAGCATTTAGATTTAGATGGCAGGAAGGTCATCCGGCTTTACAATGTAAATTGTAGAGCTGGATGCCCTTACTGCCATTAACTCTCTTTTTATTCAGAATTATTGAACTCTGGTTGGGATCAACATCCTGATTGTGTGCCATGCCTAATGAGAATACTATCATGTCAAGCTGCTGACTTTATTGATTTGATAAGAACCAATGTATACAGTAAAATTAAGATTAACTATTGCTTTTTATAAATTAATTATAAATGTAACAATTAATCAAGAATATATAATAATAATTATAAGAATTAACTAATTTTCAAATTACAGTAATACTGTAATTAATTTTTGAAAATCATGCAATTATGGTTCAATAAATCCAGAATTATTTCAATTAATTGATGCAATATGCATCAATTAATGCAATGTCTGAATGTGTAAATTATATTTAAATATAATTTTGGATATGTTTCTTTATATAAGTTTTATTAATAAATTTCATATTAAAATAAAAACAACCACTAAACAAAGCATTAATTACACATTCCAAAATAACTGCGAAGCGTAATAAGATTGGTGCATTATATTTAAATTTCATATTATACATTTACTGTATGAATTGAAATTTAATAATAATAAAAAAAATTTATAGTAAAAATCCTTTCAAAATCATATCTATTTAATATATTTTTTAATTGTTTTTAAAATAAATAAACTTTTACACAAATAAATACATTTTAATTTTCTTCTTAACTTGATTATTGGCAAGTTTTACTAAATATATAAAATAATTCAAATTTTTTGACATTTTAAAGAATTGTCAAAAAATTTGTGAAATGTTTTAGTACTTGATTTGTCTTTTGTTCTTGTCTTCAATTATCAGAAGTAAGCACAAGATTGCTTAAAAGAACTAATCACTCAGGAACACCACAAAGATAGTTTATACAAGTTTTATTGTTTATGAAGCACAAGCCTTTTAGACTATATATCCCTCATCAGTCCTTTATTATTCAACATTAATGTAAATGGTAAGAATTACATGTGTTATAATTATACAGGTGACAACTGGATTCTTAGATATTATAAGATAACTGTAAATTATAAAAAAAAAATTGACAGTCCTGGCTATACTTGTTACTCCCCTAGTATATTTCACAAGAAACACTTAAATCTTGAATATTTATTTACTACAGATTCAAGGGACATTTGAAGCTTAATGCTGCATTTCCAAATTTGCTACTTGCAAGTAAACTTTGTTTGATTGCCCTGTACAGTACTTTTCATAGTAAATAGAATTAATGAAAAAATTACTTAACATAAATGATAAATATAATTGTTATAAATCACTAAAAAGTAATAGGATAAAGCTTATAAACTTTTTAAAAACTTTGGATAAACTGCCAGTAAAGAAGTTCTGAAAAATATATTTTAGTTTTAACAACTAACTCTAACTTTTAGATATTTATATAATTGTTTTATATTTAGTAAATATTTAATTAAAATACTTTATCTTAACGTTAATTTTGCACTTTAACTTAAATTGTATTAATTTATTTTATTAGTCATTATCTGAAGATGATAGTTTAATATTTATAAAGTCACCAGAACATCCTGTAACTAGTAAAGGTAGCAGTCTAACATCTCATCCAGGCCGAAAATTTGTCATGGATTTTTTACGTGTTATTATTGTTGATAGTTTATCATTACCTGTTACAACAAAACAGGCACCAGTTATTGATATGTTATTAGAGGTATGTTTTTTTACTTTGAGTCAAGAAAAATATATTTATGCAAAAACTTATTTGTATTTTTTAAAATTTCCAGGCTGCTCCTTCTCATTCTTCTCATGTACAGCAATGCGAATTTCAAACTGAAGTGTTATCATCCTTAATGGAACATTTATTAGCTGCAGACGTGTTGTTGGGAGAACAAGCTGCTCTTCCTATTGCAACTGGAGGAAGCTATTCTTATATTACTCCAAATGTTTTCTATTTTACAAGTTGTTTAGTTGATAAACTTTGGCAAGGTAATTAAAATAATAATAAATTATTACNACAATCGTCCAATATTAGCTACTCAAGTCCGAATAGCTCAATGAAAAATTCTGATGCCTAAAAAAAAAAAAAAGGTCAACAACTCATTTTTAAATTGCCCCCCTTAACAATCGAATTGCCCCCTTGTGGGGCATGGGCCCCACGTTGGGAAACACTGTTCTAGAAGGTTGGACAAGGTGTCAAGTGTAACTTTGTTTATTTGATTTATCACATTTTAACAAATTTTAATTTTTGAATTTAGGACCAGAAATTTTTAGAACTTCTTGTATACTTTAAAAACTTGTAGTTGGTTGTTTTTGCTTCTCATTTAAATCCAAGATTTGTGAAATTTTATACAAAATTCTTTAAGCTTTTAGTAAAATAATGTAAAAAATTTTTAATTTGTGTAGGTAAACACAAACAAAACCGAGCCTTCACCTTTACAAGACTATCCAGTGACACTACTTCAATTTTTAATGTATCTGTATCATAATCGACCAGATTTTATGCTGATTTGTATGTCTTCAGATATTTTGAGTGCCCTTGGTTCTACATTATTTCCAGTTTTTTTATCTCATTCCGAGCATAATAGTGAAGTTAATTCACCAGTAGAAGATGTACAGGTAAAGTAAATTATGTAAATTATTAAATTTTTGGTAGAAAATAATTATGATTCAATAGATAATACTTTTCATATTTTATAAAATAAAATATTTTAAAAGTGTTATGAGTGGAGCATTTTAATATTAAATTGAAATGTTGAAAAAATCTTTATTAAATAATTTATAACAAGTAAAGGAAAATTTTATATAATATAAACAATACATAATAATATCAAAAACTTTTTATTATTGTTTAATTAATCTTACAATTGAAAAATCTTTGTTAGTGAACATTAACTACAAGTATGTGCTACTTAACAATGGTGATATATTTTGAAAAATATGCCATTAAGCCAACATCATAGAGTGTACTTTGACAAGTTTATACAATTTAGTCTACTTCTTATAAGCTTATATAAGCTATTTGTAGCACAGTGATAAGTATCTATGTTTGTAAACATATCTAAATATAGAAAGAGTACTGGCAACTACAAATTTTTTAATTCCATTATAAACTTATAGCACTTCTGTTGTTATGCAGCACATACCTGTAATTCAAAATGCTTCTTTTTAAAGATAATTTTTAAAAAATTCTATTTGGTTTATATTTAATTTGTTTAAATTAAATACATAGTATTACAAGATTAACTAGGGACACAGCATGACTGTTTTATGACAATAGAATTGAGGGAGAGCATTATGTTTTTTTAATTAACAATTTTTAAATTAGTATTATGGCATATAAATTATCTTTCACTCCATCTAACCCAAGCACTGACATACATATGGTTGTGTGTGTGAGATCAGAAGAAAACAGTTTATGACCAAACGAAAAGGCAGTCCTTACACTTGTCAGCTACAGAGGCAATCCTGACATTTTCCAGATACAGACTGGGAGTGTAAGATATCCTTACAGTCACTTGGTGTCAATTGCTTTGTTCTTGTGTTTTGTTTGTTTTTGGTGTCCATTTTCCATTCAGTACTTGCAGTGCAGTTTTTTATTTCAACTCATTAAATTCCATTAGGCATGCTCAATCATGTCAAGGAGTGTAGACATTGTTACTTTGACCCTGCTGTATCTCAAAAACAAAGTCATGGACTCCTATTTTTTATTGCATTTTTGGCTTTTCCATTGAAATTAATGTGAAATGGCAAAGTTTTATCAAAATTTGCTCATCAAATTTTGAGAACAAACTTAATTCTAAAAGCCACATAGAAGAGGCTTTACTAATTCTCAATTTCAACTATTAATAGTTGATATAACTTGCAGTGTTCAGGTTATGTTAAAACATCAAATATGTATGAAAACTAATATATATGCTTTTATGAAAGTGATATATTTCAAGAGACAATAATTATATTTCAAAGAAATGTTGAAAGCAGATGGAAAGTAATAAGAATTTTTAAGTGCTTTGAAAATATTCATTCATGTTTAGGTTTTATGATGGAAGCAATAAAGTGAATTACCAGTATTCAGGTGACAGGACAGTAACTGATTAAATAGTAATGATACCACAGACAATTTAAGCCAAGTTAGATATCATAACTTAGATCTTGTATTTTTAATAAATAAATTTTTTATTAATATGCTATTTCTGAAATGAAAATAACAAAATATGAAGTTAAATGTGTTGTGTTTTCAGTGGGGATTGGTCTGTAGGCAGTGACATTAAATTCCTTTGCTAAAATAAACTTTTATGGTTATTCAAAAGAAATTTGTAGATGCTTGTCTATTCTATTCTATAAAATACAATGGAATAGATTCATAGGAAAGTATACAAGTAAAAAGAAAAATAAATTTCCCAAAGAAAAGTTGAGAGGAAAGAAGACTAAATTCAATGACACTGCAAATTCAAACACAAATGTTGAAAAAGGACTCACACAGATACAACTATGTCTCAAACAAATAAAATTCTCTCTTATTTTCTAGATTTATATGCCTCATTTACAAAATAAGTAAAAACAATGATGTAAGAATATTAAAAGCAATATTATGCTATTTAAATACAGTAGAGCATCGATTATCTGACCCCCGATTAACCGTCACATCAGTTAACCGACCGTTGTAGTCGGCAAATTTCAAATGTCCGCTAGTGATGTGGCGCTACAATATTTGGCTATGTCTTGGCTACTTTAATATTTTTGTTAAATTTTTGTGTGTTTTAGCTGGCAACACCGACTCGACCATTGAAGGGAGGCCAGTATTTAAACAAGACTTAATTTTCTAATTATGAATGGTTGTTTATTTTGTGAGCAATAAAATAATTTTGAAATATTTTTTAACGATACAATAGTGACGATTATTATTTTTAAAAAAATTTGTTAGGCTTAACATAGATGAAAATTCAACGCGAAGTTGGTTAATAGTGATATACTAATATACTAATTACATACTATTAATATACTAAACTAATAATGTATTTTTTAAATTATTTTCGGTTATCCGATTTTTTCAGTTATCCGACCAACCTGAGTCCCCAATTGAGTCGGGTAATCAATGCTCTACTTGTATGTTTTTCTACATTTTCTATTTTTAAGATTTTTATTTTTTTTAAATTTTTATAATGGAATTGGAAAAATTATATTGCTGTTGATCATAGTTTTATCTGAACACAAGAACATATCTTTATCATTATGTCAGCATTCAATTTTTCTTAAAAATAAAAATATAGTGAAAACATTCTAAACTACATAATACAGTGGAACCCCGGTTAACGAACTTAATCCGTTCTGTGACTCCGTTCGTTAACTGAATTGTTCGTTAACTGAAGCAATTTTTCCCATAGAAATTAATGCAAATGCAATTAACCTGTTCTAGTCTCCGAAATTTTTGTAATTTTATTTTAATATACAGTAGATTTTCTTTGATGAAAATGTAGGAAAACGTAGTATCTATCATTAAAGCAACAAACATGTAAATTTTGTTTAATAAAATAGCATTGTACTGTACATACCTTCGTTTGTTGTAGTTGGAGGCAGAAAAGTGGAGATATATACGAACCTTAATGCTTAGAAAAGAAATCCCTCCAAAAAAATAATGGGTAGCACTTCATCAGAAGATTCTTCGAGTCGAAGTCTCTTTCAGTAAGAAAGCCCACCAGTGGCTAAGCCGTCTTCGTACCCTGAACACAAGGAATTCGTTCGTGGGTTCGCACCTCGCTCAGACGGGCTGGCCACGTGGAATTTTTCGGGTTTTCTCCTCGTCTGTAATGCCTAAATAGAAGTCAGTTTCCTATAAAATCACCTCCCAGAAGGCATTTCCCCTAGGCAGATCGCCCAAGTGTTGCATTGCCATAACTTAACAAACAATCAAACTCTTTCCATAAGGAACAAGAAATTGATCTAAAGTTGATTGTCTTACTCTTTTAATTAATCAAAATTTTTCTGAAATGCGATAGCGTATTGTCGTTCATATTGCATTGTTGTTTTCTGTTGCCACTATGACTTTTTTCTTTCTTGGATGCCATATTGATTAAATATATAAATCACAAAACTGAAAAAAGAAGTATAGCACAAACACTTCGAAAAGAAATGCTTAACTCGCGCATGCCGAACACCAATAAAATTTGACACAAAATACCGTTACGTTCGTTATCCGAATTTTGTTCGTTGTCAGAGACAAAATTTTTGCAAAATAAAAGTTTGTTAACCGATTTGGTCGTTAACCAGGACGTTCGTTAACTGGGGTTCCACTGTATTGCTTTTTGTTACATTTACTGAAAGTATTAAACTAACTCTTAAGCAATGCACAACTTTTAAATGGGTTTGGGTCATAATTCCGAATGACACCATAATCCAAATGCCATAATCTCAAATGTTGAAATCCCAAAAGGCTAAAATTCCAAAAATCACAATCCTGAAACACCTAAAACCTCAATTCCCAGTTAAAAATTTGTGGTCTGTATATGAGTGCATGCAGAATGGATTTCCACACACGTAAAACAACATAGATGCATTACACAGAAGATGGAAAAATTTAGTAGGGAATGCTCAGTTTGGTGTATATTGAATCATTGAAGAATTTCAAAAATGCATTGCCACGTAGAAAATGAATATAAGCATATTCTCCAAAGAAAACCATGCCCTAAAAGGAAAAAAAGCAAATACTCATTGCAAAACAAGACTTCAAAATATAGTTGATGATCATGAAAGTCGGTTGGCACTTATGAACTACCTTTGTGCAATTGCCCATAATCTTTCCATGTAATATACTTTTTGTTATGTTGATATTTTTATTTTCTTCCTCACTATTTAAAATTTTCAGTATTGATTTTTATAATTTGTAATTCTATATATTTCAACTATCAATAGTTGATATAACTTGCAATGCTCAGGTTATGTTAAAACATCAAACAGGTATGAAAACTATATATGCTTTTATGAAAGTGATATATTTGAAGAGACAATGCAAGCAGAATGGATTTCCACACACCTAAAACAACATAGATACATTACACAGAAGATGGAAAAATTTAGTAGGGAATGCTCAGTTTGGTGTATATTGAATCATTGAAGAATTTCAAAAATGCATTGCCACGTAGAAAATGGATATAAGCATATTCTCCAAAGAAAACCATGCCCTAAAAGGAAAAAAAGCAGATACTCATTGCAAAACAAGCCTTCAAAATATAGTTAATGATCATGAAAAATTCTATATACAGTAGAACCTCCATTATCCGGACCTCCATTATACGGATTTTCGATTAACCGGATTGTTCAAAATAAACAAAAATTTTACGAATTTGCTGATTTGCACTTGGCGAATTACGACACTGTTTATGCACGTGATGGAATGCATAACTTTTTTTGTCTCACCCAGCACAGTGGTCGTAAACTCTTAAATATATTTTACGTAGTAATAAAAATATAACTTGACATACGTATTTATAAATTAATTATATTCAAATTACATCATTTCTATGACCAAGGGCGGCGTAAGGCATGAACGACGTGGGCCACCGCCTATGCCTCGCG